CTCGGCCTTCCCACTGAGCACCACCAGCAGCTGTGCGCTTTGCGTTGGGCTGCAGAGCAGCTCCCAGCCCCGCAAAGTCCATGGGTGGGTGGGTGGATGGATGGATGGATGGATGGGTGGGTGGGTGGGTGGGTGGATGGATGTGGAGCCCCTCTGCCCACACGCTGGTGGACACAATGCTGCTTTTCAAGGGCACACGGTGGTTCTTTTGTGGCGCTTCTTAAATTGATGCGCGACGCAGGTTTGGCCGCAGTAACTAGCTTTTCCCAAAATATCTTCCCTCTATCGGAGGTGCTCTATTTTTAGAGCTGCAAAGCATCACATTGACAAGTGCCAGGGTCAAAGCTTACCTTTAAACTTTCTGAAATTCATTTGGCCTTGTATAAGCATCTGTTGTTTTCAGCTGGCCGTTAGCCGTAACGATGTGCAATAACTCCAGCCCAGCTCCACACTGCCCCATGTCGCCGGGCACACAGTGGCACAAGGAAATGGCCATGCTGCTCTCACACGGACAAAACCCAGCGTCCTCTCTCACCCTGAGCAGTTGACACATGTCTATGAAAGTGATCTATAATTTAAGCGCTCTCGCAGTGCGATCTCCAGGTGGGGAAATCACTGTTCTGTGACTTTTGTGTTGGAGATGGATGTGCTCAGGCAGTGCAATAACTCCCTGGGTGTCCGAGTCCTTTTCCCCCACTACAACAGAAGCAGAAGAATGGGGCAGGTTAATTGAATTATCGCAGATCTGAAGGCTGCTCAGTGGTGAAAATACAGCTGGACTCCAGCCTGAGCTGCAGGGCTACAGCATCCACACTGCAGTGCACTGAGCATGGTGTGCAAATCTAAAAACCCAGCAGCTCCATTGCTGGGAATAAAGGACATCATTGGCATGTTAAAACATCCAGGCTTACTGTGGCAACATTCTTCTTTTTCTTTTAACCTTCCAGTATGAATAATACGATGAAACTCTCGACTGGTGATAGATTTTTAAAGATGGGATAGGGCTGCTTCCTCTCCCTGCCCCAAACCAATGCCTTCTGTCAAAGAAGTCAGGTTGGCCCTGCTCTGCTCTGCTCATCACGTTTGTGCTAATAACGATCAATAAAATAATGGTAATACATTTAGTGACTGATGTGGAATCCTGTTCCCCAGTAATGATCAGTGAGACATCAGAAGCCGTGCCTATCTGTTCCTATTTATGCTAATGGGATGAATGTGTCTATAATAATGCTCCTAATGATTTGTCCATTGCTCACAGTACAGTGTGGCAGTTTTCCTGTTTGCTGAAATTAAAACATCATCTCTGCAGGCTTATATTAACCAGATCCTGCATCTCTGCCTCCAGGAACGGGGAGTTGAGCTCATGGGTAAGACATTGCCACCCAGCTGGTCCTGCAGCCTGGACCGGGTGGTATCCCATTCAAATTACCTAGGGTAAGTGTAATTTTAAACAAAAATTGAAGGTAGAACAGCCCCCAGCTGCCATCCATCACCCTGCCCCTGCACCAGGACACCACGTGCTTTGATTTCCACATCCACTAACACTTGTGGAAGTAATCTACTTGTAAGTAATGTACATAATCTACTTAGCATAAGTAATGCACTTCCCCTCATTTGCATGGGCAAGTGTTTATTAGTTTTTACTTTTATTATCTGTAATGCAAAAATATTCCGTGCAGCTCGAGACAAATTGCTTGCAGGATTTCATTAGCCAGGAAGTGCTGAGTGCTGGGCGCTCAGTTACAGCACTGCTCTGAGCTCTGGCACGTGTCATAATGATATGGAAAGCACTGCTGAGAGCTGTGCTACGGACATGGGATACGGCTCCATCACCACCAAATGACTGCGTAGTGCTACAACAGGTCCTGGCCCGGCTGCAGCCTCCGACACCTAAAAAATAGAGAAATGAAGTGCTGAAAGCACAGCAGAGCTTGAGGTGTTGGGGAATGTATGTTATATATCAAGCACTGATGCTTCCATGTGTGCGTGGGAGCTGCGTCCCCGGGCTGAGCCGAGCAGCACGCCCAGCCCTCGCTCGTTAGCAAAGCTGCTCCATAATTAATAAGCTGCCATTGAACTGTTTCTGCCGACCTCACCTTGCATTTTCAGAAAACTGCCATCGCTTTTTGGTTAGTTCCACTCGGGGAAACAAGGGCTAATGCTTTCCTTGGAGCAGATGAATATTTACGATGTGCTTCTGCTGGTTGTGGAGAAGGGATTATTGCTCAGAGTCCCGCAGCTCCTCGCCCTTCCCAGCTCCTCTCCTGGGTCCCAGAGCCTGAAGGCACAGACATGTGGGTGGCCGGGGGCCTCTGTTCCCCCCTGCAGCTCAGGGGTTGAAGCTCTTTGCTCTCTTCCTCCCATACCCAAAACTCCTTCTCCAGGAACAGTTATCACAGTTTCAACTGAAAATGGCCACAGTTTGATAGGAGAAAATGCTCCTCCTGTCTGAAAGGCGTTCAGACAAAACACCTGTATTTACTGTGTGTACAACACCCGTAAAGATGTTATCAGGGCTCATTAGGAGAACAGGAGAGCTCTCCCTTTAAAACAAAGCCTGCTGCGGAGATGCACGATTGCTCTGTATCAGAACTGTTTCCCCATGTGCTGCTCAGTCAGCTCTCATCACCTCGCAGTGATGCTGGTGGGGATGTGGCACAGTGGGTCCCAGCTGCAGACACCCAACCGAGCGCTTCCCATCCCTCCAGCAATGCCACCACAGCTCTGTGTTGGCAGCAGTGCCCGGCTCACTGTGCAGCTCTGATCCGTGTCATCCCATGGGGCAGGAGCCTGAAACAGATCTGCAGTGCCTTCATTGTGCAGTAACCCAGCTGGGCGCTCCTCATACCC